TCCTTTTTCCTTTTATTTATTTATTTATTTATTTTTATTTTTATCAACTAATTAAGGCAAGCAACTCATCTTTCCATTTTTTCCACATGAAACATGAATGGTATTGCATATATAATTTCCCATACAACTTTTCACTGTCATGGAAAATTCTACATAGTAGGAAGAATATTTTAACTTATTATATTTGTTGGGTGCATTGTATCTCATAAAATATGAATGCTTTTCTTCAGATTAACGGGATTAGACAGAGATGAATGTAAAAAGTAAAAAAATAAACAACTTTTTGACGCAGAAAATGAAATCTTTAAAAATGTCATTTCTATATTTTCAATATTTTTAAATTCTAAATTTGTTGTCAGATCAAACACCTATTAAAAAATAATAAAAATATAAAATACAATTTTCTTTTCAATAAACTTTTTATTTTCATATTTCTATATTATTTTTAAAATCACCAACCAAACGCGTTCTTAACAATCCAACGTTGTGGAAAAGATTTTAGATTTTTTTCCTATGAAATAAGGATAAAAACTACTAATCCCACATACTTAAAAATTTTGCAAACAAGTGATTATCTAATCGTGAGATAGGAGATTAAAACTGCGAGCCCCACTTTTTTTTTTCTCTTTGTGGACTTCAAAATTGAACCACACATGACACAGCAACAGTGACAAAGAAGAAAAGAAAGTGAAAATGATTGATGGGGAAGAGAATTGAATGCAACAATCCAATGGGATCCTTCTACTGTGACTTTGCTCATTTCCCACCACCACAATATTTGCAAAATCTAAACCAAAACCCTGCCTCCAACTTGTGTCCATCCATTTGATACGTATAAATCATACCCATAAAATTTATATATCGACATTTCTACTCCGAAATTGTTTATTTTTTAACTCTCCGTTAAACGATATTTTTAATCTCCGTTGTATCCGTACAATACTATAATATTATCTACTACAAAAAAAAATTAAGAGATATATATTGTTGTTAATTATATCATATACGAGGCTATAGTAATATATCTAGAATACCTGCACTTTTTATTGATGGTGGGTTCAAAGAATTCCAAAAAGTAATAAACTTTGGCTTAAAAAGTGCAGGTATAGTATCTTAGAAGATATTAACAGATCCAATAAAGTGAAGATGCAAATGGGTATATGCATGGGTGAAGGCTACAAGTTGGAGATCATGGTTTTATAATGCGCAGCAGCTCGTAAACAGTGAACAGATTATTAGACGGAACATAGCATGCAAAGAGGTACCCAACAAAGATTAGTTGCATTATGTTAATCAAAAACTTTATAATATACATAGAGCATGATTAAAAGAAAAGCAAAAGGACAAAAAAAAAAAAAAAGCAAAGAAAAATGAAATTGGAAGAGTCAAAGAGGCAAGAGAGAATTAGGGTTTTTTGGGGGTTGAGAAGCGACGGATGGGAACCCCAACAGGCAAGCCAATTTAGGGTTTGGCAATTGGCTCTGAACCACCAAACCCCAAACCCAACACCACACAACCAAAAACCAAAAATTTGGGTCCCCAAAAGATGTGGCCAATTGGAGACTGAAGGGTTACACTTCACGTATATATTTTTCCAAGTTGGCTTTTGGGTGAACTCTAAAGTCATCTCTCTCTCTCTCTAATTCTCTATTTTCTTTCTCTCTCTACGGTCAGAAAGAAAGGCTGTCAAAGTTGAAATGGGATCCATAGATTTAGGGGGACCAGAAAACTGGAGGAGCTAAAGCTAGCAGTTTGTAATTTCTGTGTAATTAAACCACAATTTTTCACCCATTTATATCAATAAATAAATACGTCCTCCTCAAAACATCTTGTCTATGAATCCTTACCACCAATACTTCCATCTTTTTCATGGATTTTTGTTTTGGTTTTACTGTTTTGTTCGGGAATTAATTGTCGTATTTATTGCATTTGTTTCTACCTAATGGAACGCGCTTAATTAAATTATTTTTGAAAATTTGACTATTGAGCAATAGTTGGAAAAAAAATTCAAAATAACACCAAAGAGAGGGAGGTGGATAGAGGAAATGTTAGATAACCCAGCCTAGTTGTTTTGTTAATTAGTTTGGTGGGGAAGAAAATGAAAACCTTTTTTCCAATGACACGTTTAAATTACTTCTAGTTAAGGCCTAGAAACTTTACTGTCACTAACTTTTTGACATATTTTAGAAAACTAACTCCCAAAGCAATATATATTATTAGTGTTTTTCCGAGAAAGAGCATGAAGGGTGAAAAAAAATTTAGAAAGTAAATTATAGATCTCACGAAATAGGATAATAAGATTGATTAGGTTAATCTTATCTAGAAATATGAATGGTAACTAATTTTGACTTAGATCTTGGGGAGGTAAATAATAACAATAAAGATAAAAGATAATTGAATTTGATTCTTATTCTGATTTTTTATTTTTGATTTTGAGTAAGTAAGTGAACAATTTTTTAAATTAAGATTTAGTTTTCGAATCTGCAAACAAACCTACCTTCCAAAGCAAGAATACAATTCTATTTTTCCATTGAATTCCTTATTTCGGTTTTTAGATTACCAATTGATCTCACAAAATAGTAAGAATAAGATTGATTAGGTAGATCTTATCTAGAATTAATGGTAAAGCTAATTTTGACTTGATGCTGGCTATATTATCAACGAGGTAAATAATAACAATAAGGATGAAAGAGAATTGAATCTGATTCTTATTCTTGATAAGTAAACAGGACCTCAGTTCAATAATGAACATATTGACCAACGTACTTCACGTGGTGGTTACACTAATTACAAGTCGTTTAGGAAGGATTATAAATTTATTAGTGTAAACTAAATCCAAATTAAGCAACAAAACAGAGGTTAAGACTATAATGCAGTGATTTAATAATCAAAACCAGAACCCCTAATATTCCATTAGCAGAATCCCATGTTTTGGTTCTTGTTTTTCATTGCATCAAATTTGAGAAGGGAATCAACGAAGCTAAAATTGAATCTGGCATGCAGCTTTTAAACTCTCAAAATCCGACACTGATTTTAGCATGAACATCGGCAGATTCAAAAACCATCCTAAGGCTTAACATACATGTTTGGGGGTAAACATACCCAAGACACGTGGAGGACCCTTATTAGTATTTGAAGAAACCAAATAAAAAGGATTGTTTAGGTCCACCTTGGCCCCGCCGAGGAGACCAGGTTCGCCCACTATAAAAGGCTAAGTATGGGCACCAAGGTTCGACCTGACTGGGGTCCGACCTGCTCGGAACCCGACAGGTCCGATATGAGAAAAGACACATAACCGCCGGTCGTGTGTACTGTCGGATCCATCACCTATAAATAGAGGACTTCATTTCACGTTCAGGTATCGAATCTCATCTCGAACTAAATAAGGAATCCGATCTATACTGACTTGAGCGTCGGAGTGCTTACCCTCTTGTGCAGGTCCACTCTAGTGTTCAGGTCGGAACCGGAGACCGGGTTCGAACTCGATTCGTGAAGAACCGTTGTGCAAATTCTTGCATAGACAATACGAATCTAAAGCAATAGATTCTTGTTTTTCCTTTTAGTAGTCTTTTTGGTTGGAAGAAGAAAATAAAATACTAAGAAAAAGGACAGAGTGGTGTGGTGGTCCTGTCTCAATCATGCAACTTTTTACCAAAAAGTTGGTGCCAAAACTAAGCTAGCTATGTTTTGGAAACAGTGTTCTGCTTTTAAAAACAAAGTTCAGCCAAAATATGTTTGAATCGATTCTTTATTTTATTTTATTTTTTTTTATCTTTTCATTTAAAATAATGGTTAAATTAAAAGTTTAATTTTGTGAACTTTTAAAGTTAGTATTTAGTAAGTTAAATGATATTTAGAAAATATCTAATAATTTCTTAAATTTTTAATTTTACTGACATTTTTATTTTGTGTCTAATAGAACTAAAATTTAGAAAATATGTGACATGTCAAAATTTATAAAATACAAATACAAAAGTTCATAAATTTGTTAGACACTTTTTAAACTTCAAGAAACTTATTTATTCAGTGAAACTCTTTTTCTTCTCCATGAGATTGTGAATTTAGCTTAATAAAATTGTCAAAAATTTTGTCTTAAAAACAACTTTGAAAACAAAATTAAGAAAAGGGAGTTGTAAGAACAATTTCAAAATAGTGAGTGACATTTTTTTTCTTTGTTACAATTAGTGAAGAAGTGAAATTAATTGCTATATTTTTTTTTCTTTGGGGAGCTTTAGGTGCATTATTGCACTTTGCTATGGTCTTCAATATCATTCTTTTGGGCCCAAGTTTATAACTGGATCGGCCCAAAGGTCAAATAGTCAACCAACGTATAGAAGCCCAAAATTTTATCAAAATACTCGTTATATATAACATGAGTACTACAAGGTTAAATTATAATTTTAATCCCTGTAATTTGAGTTTGGTTTTTGTTTGGTATCTTAAAAGTTTCGTAATAATTCTTATCATTTAGTTAAATTTTCTCTAGCTTCTTTATTATTATAAAATGTTAAGCAATTTTCTTACGTGACATGTTTTCTTTAGATGTGACAAAGAAGTAACGAGATGATGTTTAATATAAAGTTTTTACAAAATATCACATTATCAACTTAAACATAGCTCAACAATTATCCTATTAACAATATGATAAGCCACAGTTGAAATTTGAGACTTAAATTGGTCGAGTATTTAAGAGTTTCGAGTTGGACAAAAGATAGGGGAATTATGTTTGCAAAAACAAAATTCTTTAGAAATCAAAAATTCATTTATTTTCCACTCAATTCAAATCCTAACATGGTAAGCTTAGAATGCTAGCTACCAATTTCTTCTCTTTACCATTTTCAAAAAATAAATATATAAATAAACATTTAGTAACTGAAACAATGATTTTAAAAGCTATAACCATAGTGACTCCATTGAAATTTGGAAGTAACAAATTATATAGTAATAAGTAATAACAATTTGGGTGTCATATGACAAGGCCCAAGGCCCAGGCCCAGGCCCATGTATAACATTAGCATGGCAAACAAATCAAGTGTCTGTTTTGAGATTGGTGCCAAAGCCAAGTTAGCTGTATTTGTTGTTTAAGGCAATATTCAATCCATGCATCCCTATTCCCTTCTAAACTTAGCAATTTCACAATTACAATTCACTCTCCTTCTCCTTTACCATTTTCAGACAAGAGACAACACAAAACACAATTCATTCTCTGCATCTTATTCTTCTTCATTTTTCTGCAGAATGCAGCAAAATCAAAAGATGGAGGGCCACAAATCAGACACCAACAAAACGAATCCCCGAAAGGATGGAGTAATCATCACTGTGTACGTTGAATCCCCCAAATCGCATAACAATTCCCATCAAAACAGGGATGCCAATGCCCTCAACAAAATTAACCCCAAATCCAGAGGCAGAGGCTACGACCGCCGGGCCCAGCTCCTCGCATACTCTCGCGACCTCAGAAACCTCGATTCTCCTCTCAAACCCAAGGTCTGTCTCCGTCTCTGCCTCTGTGTTGCTTCGTTTTAATTTCATTTTTGAGTAGGAATTGAAAAGATCGATAAATTAAAATGCTGCGTACGTACAGAAATGGAAACTGAAGGTGAGATCGGAGACACGGTATGAACGGGTGGGGATGGGGAGAGAGGATAGAGCAGAGGTGGTGGATCAGCGATGCCGCCCCAAATGCTTCTGCTTCCAAAGCAGGACAAAGAAAGCCACTGGGAAATCGGGTTCTTCCATATTGGTAAATTTCCGGCCGGGAAATGAATACCCACTTGATCAGTTTTTTTGTTTTGTTTTTGACGAGTTGGTTAATGGGTGTTGCGTTTGTGTTGCAGATGAAAATGAAGAGTTTGTTGAGAGAGTTATCAAAGGGGTGTAAACGCAGGAGTGATGATTGAGGACAAATATGGTGGGTGGTGATTGTGAAATGAGATCCGCCATTTGTAGTAGTTATGTTATGTATATTGGGTTTGTTTCTGTCTTTCTATGGAGGTTTTTGATCAATCATCGGTCTACCGAGTGAATGTAAATACAAATGCTTGCTTACCTCCTGGACCGGTATGTGACGCAATTTTAATCCGACTTTTCTACTGCATGCAATATAAACAGACAGATAAAACCATACTATATTAAAAAGTTAGTAAAGTTAGTCGTCAACGTGAACTTAATTTAGCGGTAATCGACAACTATTTTGGTCAAGAAGTTATGAATTTGAATCTCAATCTCATGGTCACTGGCCTCTCGATAGTCATGCAATTTTGATCTCACTACATGCAACACCCACAAAAAATTTAATATTTTTGGATTATTATACCATTTTAAGTTGTTGAATGTGTATACAAATACTTGCATGCCTCCGGGACCAGCGAATGTGATGCAATTTGAATACGACTTTTCTACTGCAAAATCAAATAA